CCAGCTTCGAAGCTGCCTGTGGAGGCCACTGCTTGGCCTTGATCCCCTGTCTTGAGCCTAATTCAGGCTTTCTGTTATGGTGGTTACCTTCCATCTTGTTTGAGGCTGATCTTGGTGGCCAATCTCTGGCTCTGATTCCATAACTTTAGCCCACTTCAGGCCTCCTCTCAGGATGATTGCCCTATATCCTGTAATAGTTGGGTGGTCTGAACTCATGCAGAGGTCTCTTACCCTTGGAGTGCACTCTAGTGGCTGGTGGTCCAACCAAAAATGGTTCTTGTCTGGGACCAGTTGGATATGGCCTCTTATTGTAAGTATTGGTTGATTTAAGGCGTTTCTATAAATCTTTGTAATACTGTTTTCCAGCAATTGGGAAACCTTTCAACCATTTGTAACTTAACTTGCATCTGGGACACATCCTTTGCATGACAGCTGTCTCTAGAAAGTCATCATCCAGTGCCTCCTTACTAGAGTCCTCCTTTTGCCTGCAAAGCTCTGTCCATCTCCTGGTGAACTTCTGATATCTTTCTTGGAAGCAGTCTGGCTGGCAAAATACGTCTGTACATTAACCTCCTCCAATTCCTTCAAGGATAGGTTTTGGAAGTCAGGCACACCAACATTGGCTATAACTTCCTCAATCTCTGGGAATGGGTTAGTGTCAATTCCCATAGCTTTCTTTGCTTTGGCTGGGAACTTTAAACTCCCTTTTCGAATCTGTTCTTGGATCCTGTCCCGGAAAACAATACAGTTTTAGTTGAGTGAGACCAAGAATTATGCCATTTACAATACATTTTCCCTTTAAGTTCTTTTGGAGAACGAATTTTAACTCCCTTTGGTAACTTTAGGATATTTGCTGCAAGCAAATGATCAAAAATGTCATATGTCTTTGTTAAATCGAAAAAGTATTTCCTATGAAGGTATTTTTTTTAAACTGCTGGTCTATTATAGTGCCTTTACAAATTAATACCTCACAGATCACAGGCTGCTGGATTTCCTTACGATCTTTGCTGCATCAATCTCATAATTAGGATCTCTATAAGTCTTGTATGATGCATTGCTTCGATCAGCCCTTTGATTGAAGCTTGCCAAGTTTGCCATGGAAACTTTTTACTCTGTTTGGAAGAATTGGGCATGAAATGCCTCTTCCATTTGCTACCAAGTTTGGATAGAGCCAGGTATAAGGTTAATATACCATACAAAAGCTCCCCCAGTTAGAGAATTTGAAAAAGTCTTAACTTCATGTAATCATTATTGGTAAATTCACCACATTGGGCAGTGAACCTAGAAATGTGTTCTACTGTTGACTGGTTTCCATTCCTATAAAAAAGAGCAAAGTTTGGTATTCTAAACCCCTTTGGGTATTCATGCACCCTATCTACCCATTCTGAGTATGGCTTCCTATACACAGGAGTTTGAACCCCCCGAGCCATAGGTCCACACATTTCTTTGACAATATCTGCAATTGAACCCTAGGAACCATATTTTGTGCTTGTTGGACTACCACTGGAGGAACAAACACAGGATTTGGTGGAAAACCTTGTGCCTAAAGTCCTCTTGGTCCATAGGGAGGTATATTTGGGACTAGCTGTCCCTGTGGTACTGGCTGCTGTTGAGGGTATGGTTGACCTCTCTGAGCCTGTCCTACGAAAGGACCTGCGAAAGGTGCTATAATAGGAGGAACATGTGTTGTTTCTCTTCCAACCATAGTAAACCCTTCCAAACCCCCGGGTGTGAATTCGATCAAGGGATTAGTAAATCCCCTTGTGCCAGGTATGGCTTCAAACATAGGATTTGGAAACATTCTCATGCCATTTTCTTGTATTGGCCCAGATCCACCAATTTTTATGGCTTCGCTATTAGGTAATGAGGCATTTTGATTATCATAGGCCTCGAAAGAGGCTCATACCAAGACTGAGGTATAGATGGTGGTCTTTCATAATTTTGATTACTAGTCTGACCATTAGTATGTCCATTACTTTGCAAAGGCTGTTTATCTCCAGCCAATCTTTGTTAAGGAACATTTGAATTTTCCTCTATATGCCTTGTGTTAGTTGGTTGATAGGAATTCATCTGATCCATAAAGGATATTGCCCATCTTTCCATTGTGTTCATTAACTGCTATCCCATGACATCTACCTGGCCTCCCTATGGATTCATTGGTTGAGTAGATAGAACAATGGATGGTCTAATTCCATGGCCTCATCCAATATTTTGAACATGTGGTGCATGTTCTAAATTACTGGTTTGTTTGACCATAGGTTCTGATAAGATAGGTGCTTCCATAGGATGTGTTATCACATTATCCTCTGGATCAAGTACCTCTACCTCTCCTTCCCCACCTTCTTCTAGGCATTCACTTTCTCATTGTCTCCTACGTCTAGCCATTTCAATTAGTCCCACTAGGCATGCCAAAAATAAATGTTGGCTTTCGAAGGTTAATATTGCAATTTTAAGCGTGCCAGTAAGAATCAATCAGTCATTACAGAAGATTAATTGCCAACCAATTATCAAATAATTATGTGTTAGTTCTTTCAGCCTCAATGAAGAGGACTTTCACTGGTGGCTTGTTTTGGAGAATTTAGTAAATAACAACTAAATGAAGAATAATTTCAAAATTTCATTAAATAAAATGAAAAACTTACAATGATCTGACCCAACCTCGTAGAGGTTTACAGCAACAAGCTATTTGAAACTACTCCTATGAATGAAGTGTAGTACAGGAATTTGAAGTGCAGAAATGTAAAGAATTGTAAAAACTGGAAGAAAAAACAAAGTAAATAAAACTGGTTTTTTGATTTGAGTCTGAATCCTTCATTCTAGGGCCGTCTTTGCTATTTATACTTCTCAATGACAACCGTCGAAGTGGGGCTTCCAACCGTCGAAATGTCCTCCCATGATTGCTGAACATGCTCTCTCACAGTCAGTTCCTCTACGCCACATTTGCAGTTAGGCTTCCCTCCTGATTTCGAATTTGAACTTTGTGAGTAATCGTTAGGCCACATTACCTTATATTCTTTTATTGTTCCAGTGCTACGCAGACCCATTATTATCAATATGGGCTGACACATGTCTGACTATGGTTGACAACTTGTATTAACTTCCCAAATTGTCCTATCCATGCCACGTGTTGAATTGTGATTGACTTTTACAAATTATACAGCCAACAATTAGCTTTCAGTTTCAAAAATAATGATATATCAATCTAGTTTTTCTGTTTTAAATATCTTGGGATGATACCATCCATATGTATTCTTATTACATATTTTTGTGATAAATTTTGTGCATTTTCTAGTAGATAGATGATAATTTATAATTTAAAAATTAAGTTATACATTTTGTGGTAATGTTACATATTTTTATGGTAATATTACATTTTTTTATTCAAACATTTTTAATCGCAAAATATGTAACATAACCATAAAAATGTTTAAGTTCATTTTTAAATCACAAATTATCATTACTCTATCAAAAATAATGTAATATTTATTATAAAAATACGTAATATACACCATAAAAATATAGGATGCATATAGAATTTCTGTAAAGATATATCAATTTGACTTGTATTTTCAAAAAACCCCTTATCATATCATTCTGATACATATTTAAGGATAAATTTTATATTTGTGAATCATTTTCCTTATTAGAATGCAAACATTGTTGGTGATTAGCGAAAGCTAAGAATTATGAACACATTCTAGCTACGTGATAGACTTCCAAACATTTTATGACACGTATTCTAACATGTTTTATAATTGTAAAATATATTAATATTCACTATTGATTTTAAGAATTAATATTACGTTATGTTTTTAATTATTTTAGATAAAATATTACGTATATACACAATAAATAAATAAAACTACGAATAAATAAAATCATTTAAAATATGGTATATATACACCATATTCACTGACAGGAATAAGAAAAGTGATATAAGAAAAAGAAAAGGGAAAAAGCAAATAATTTGTTTAACTCTATAAAAATTAATATAGATATTTCAACAAAATAATTTCACTACAAGAATTTTTACTTTTGGCGACTAAATTTTTAGTCGCCAAAAGTCATTTTTTAGTCGCCTATAGTCTTTAGCGACTAAATTTTTTGGTCGAAAAATTAGTAGCTGAAGAGTAGTCGGGAAAGCTAATTGGCGACTAAACTTAATTTAGTCGCCAAATGTATTCATTTGTCGACTAAATATTTAGTTAGGTTGAAAAATTAATTAAATAATATATTTTTGCCGACCAATTTTTTTATTGCCAAAAGCCAATTATTTAGTCGCGGAAAAATTTTTAGCTACTAAATTTTTTAGTCGTTGAAAGGAAATACTAGTGTTTTGGCTACTAAAATTTTAATCGCCTAAAGTCATTCTTTTATTGCTACTAAAATTTTAGTCGGCAAATACTATTTCTTTTGGCTACTAAATTTTTAGTCGCCAAAAGTGTTTTTGTTCTTCCACTTTTATTTTTAGCTACAAAATATTTTAATCGCCAAATGTTTGATTTTCTCTTGGCTACAAAACTTTTAGTAGCCAAAGGTTTGATTTTCTTTTGGCTACTAAACATTTAGTAGTCAAATGGTTGTTTTTCTTTTGCCTACAAAAAATTTAGTAGCTAAATGTTTGATTTTCTTTTGGCTACAAAACTTTTAGTAGTCAAATGTTTGTTGTTTTTTTTTTCCCCTTTTTATTGGCTACAAAACGTTTAGTCGGCAAAAACATGATATTATCATTTATTGCGAATATTATAATGTGTCCGTAACCTGTCTGCATTTCATGCAACCTGTGATATGTATATAAATAAAATGATACATAAACTATCAATCATTCTACAATCTGCATCTGCATACAAAAAATAAATTACTTTAACTGTCAAGTACATACAAACCAACTATTGTCCAAACTAAAATAATAATTCCATACAACATATAGAATCATACAAAAAGTAAAGCCCTCCATATATAAAAATTACATTTACTATACCATGTGAAATGACCATTTGGCATGGTACAAATTACCACCGTAATCTGTACCACGACAAAATGTGATGTATGTACCAAGCCAAAAATACATCTATGTACCACGACAAAAAAATCATATACTTGTGTGGCGTCAAAAGGTGATCTATCTACCATGCCAGGAATTAGCTGTTCGCTGCCAAAAGTTTTCTATATGAGTAATAGTTAACTGCACAAAAGCTGGGGACGACAAAAGTATTATATTACTTCTATACAAAAATACAATTTCTTTTCCATACACCAAAATATCTCTGCAAGTCCACGCAACAAAGTCATCTACAAAAAACAAAAACAAAAAAATTAGAATTGGACCAGAAAATGCCTAACTTCATGAATGAATTTGGGAACAAGTGACAAATAAAAATAAGTGAGAAGCAACACTCCATGATGAATCAATTATCATTCATTGTACAGTCTTTCTAAAGTCTTTTGTTATAAGGAACATTGTTAAATGCAGAACAATCATTACTAAATCTTTCATTAGTAACATAAAACTAATGTAACAATCTTCTATTTGTATGCAACATGTATCCAAATTCGGTGGCTAAACCAACATCAAAGCCCGGTGTGAATAGAAATTATTCTTTTTACCAACTTTCTCATTATTTGTTTGCAAAAGGCACTTGAATCATTAGATTGGACATAAAGCCATCGGTGCTTATTAATGTATGTCAGTGTCATTTAAGAAAGGATATTAGAATATGTGATAAAAATAATAACAAAAATAAATTTCAATCATAAAAGGAAATATGTAGAAATATATGTTGAGACACCTATAAATGGTTCCAATAAAGAAAGAATACTTGATTTCTCATGACACACATGGCCTCAGAAACACCATGAGCATGTTTCATACCTGTATGAAAGCTTAAATATAAAATAACACACGTGTGTACGTTCAAAAAATTAGCAAGTTTAAAACAAGGCGTAAACTGAGTTCATATTGGTTTCTGAATATTTTTCCCATAATTTTCCATTACTATACATCTCCAATGCATTCCGTCAGTTGTCACAAGTCCTGTTTGTAATGGGGAAGCTGCCCGTGAGAGTCAGACGGAGGTTCAGGGGCTGTTTTGAAGTTTCGCACCCGAAACGCCATTTTTCGACTAAGTTTTCGGCGTATTCGGCTCTAAATCCCTACTTACGAGTCCGAATAATATTCCGTCAGTTGGCACAAGTCACATTTGGCATGGGGAAGCTATTTGTGTCAGCCACACGGCGGTTCAAGGGCTGTTTTGAAATGGCGCCCCCGAAACGCCCTTTTTCGACTAAGTTTTGAGCGTATTCGTCTCTAAATCCCAACCTACGGGTCTGAATAACATTCCGTCAGTTGTCACAAGTCCTATTTGGCATGGGGAAGCTGTTCGTTTCGGCCACACGGCGGTTCAAGGGCTGTTTTGAATTTTCGCCCCCAAAAGGCCGTTTTTCGACTAAGTTTTGGGCGTAATCGGCTCTAAATCCCAACATATGGGTCCGAATAACATTCTGTCACTTGTAACAAGTCATATTTGGCATGGGGAAGCTGTTCGTGTTGGCCACACGGCAGTTCTGGGGTTGTTTTGAATTTTCACCCCCGAAACGTCCTTTTTCGAGTAAGTTTTGGACGTGTTCGGCTCTAAATCCCAACCTATGGGTCCGAATAACATTCTGTCAGATGTCACACGTCCTAATTGGCATGGGGAAGCTGCCAATGTCAGCTACACGGAGGTTCGGGGGCTCTTTTGAATTGTCGCCCCCGAAACGCCATTTTTCGACTAAGTTTTGGCATATTCGTCTCTAAATCCCAACCTACGGGCCCTAATAACATTCCGTCAGTTGTCACAAGTCATATTTGGCATGGGGAAGCTATTCATGTCGTCCACACGGCGGTTCCGGGGCTGTTTCAAATTTTCGCCCCTGAAATGACCTTTTTCGATTGAGTTTTGGGCATATTCGGCTCTGAATCCCAACCTACGAGTCCGAATAACATTCCATCAGATGTCACACGCCCTAATTGGCATGGGGAAGCTGCCCATGTCGGCCACACGAAGGTTTGGGCGCTGTTTTGAATTGTAGCCCCCGAAACGCCATTTTTCTACTAAGTTTTGGGCGTATTCGTCTTTAAATCCCAACCTACGGGTCCGAATAACATTCCGTCAGTTCTCACAAGTCATATTTGGCATAGGGAAGCTGTTCATGTCAGCCACACGGCAGTTCAAGGGCTGTTTTGAATTTTTGCCCCCGAAACGCCATTTTCGACTAAGTTTTGGGCGTATTCGTCTCTAAATCCCAACCTACGGGTCCGAATTACATTCCGTTAGTTGTCACAAGTCCTATTTGTTACGGGGAAGCTGCCAGTGAGAGTCACATGGTGGTTCGAGGGCTGTTTTGAATTTTTGCCTCCAAAACGCCCTTTTTCGAGTAAGTTTTTGGCGTATTTGGCTCTAACTCCTAACCTACGGGTCCGAATAATATTTCCGTCAATTGTCACAAGTCATATTTGTCATGGGGAAGCTGTCCATGAGAGCCACACGGTCGTTCAAGGGCTGTTTTCAATTTTCGCCCCTTAACACCCTTTTTCAGTTAAGTATAAGGCGTTTTCGGCTCTAAATTCCAACCAACATGTGCTAATTGCATTCTGTCTTTTGCCACAGGTCCTATTTACCATGGGGAAGGTGACCGTGACATTTGTATGGTGGTTTGGGGACTGATTCGCATTTTTGCCCCGTTAACGCCTTTTTTTGGTTAAGTTTGATGCGTTTTTGGCTCTAACTCCCAAACTACGTGTGCTAATTACATTCTGTCTGTTGTGATAGGTCCTATTTGTGACGGGGAAGGTGGCCGTGACATCCGTACGGTGGTTCAGGGGCTGTCTCTCATTTTCGCCCCCTTATTGCCCTTTTTCGGTTAAGTTTAATGCATTTTCGGTTTAAAAGCGTTGAATCAACGTCCAAACAGAGTTTTATAAGCTAGAAAGTATCATTTCATCAACTCTAAGCACTAGAAATGCAAATACACTCAAACCTTGACGGCCAAAGTAATTTGTCCACAAATTTTTTTAGTAATTTCCAAGTAATGTTTGACAACCAAGAGTAGAGTCACAAATTCATATAGTTAATTTGATATAAACATTCAAGTATTAAGAAAAATGAAGAAAATGAGGAAGGTGTCCCCACCTTTATCTAGTTGTAGGAGATGCTTTATGAGTTAAGCTTTATGTCCCTACCTTTATGCTTTATGAGATGCTTTAAATCAATATTAAATCAGCACATATTGTGAAGCTCATCTATCCATTCTCAGCAAATGAGTTAAAACCTGCAATAGGAAAAGGAAAGTTGCCTATGGAATGACTTTAACAAATCCAAGGCGAACCTAGGTGAAATGCAATAACAGAGGATCTTAAAACCATCGTAAAAATTCTACCCATAATCTAAATCCATTGGAACTTTCAATTTGTCGACAGATATTCCAAATGATATTTTGAAGTCAATAATGATAAATAAGAACAAGAAATATGGCAAATCAAAAGACTACAAAACCTAGGATTTTCATTAAGGATGCAAGGTGACTTCTACTAATTGTGTGCCAAATAACAACCAAACACACAGATGAACCAAAATAATAACCAAATCAAAATTCTAATTCAAATGTAAATTATAATCTAAATTCTAATTCACACCCAATTAACTAAATCACCCAAAAAAAACCAGATATCCAAAAAAGGAAAATTACAACCAGTTGAACTCAACTTTATGGGAACTTGAGCATCTTGAACAAGTGAAATTCCATGACAACACCTATTTTCCTTAAGTGAGAACCATTCTACTAGTGAATCTGCAAATCTACGTGTATAAAATTTGGTATTTGGCCACCTAATTTTCAAACTTATTGACAAGTATAAAACTCCAATTGATGTGTGTCTCCATTCGTAACATGAATGTTCCAAACATGTACCAAAAGGCTCAAAGCATAACGAATGAAGAGCATTACTGAATATTCATTCACACAATCAATTATTATGCTACTAACAAGAAGCTTATGTTAAGATTAAGAAGGAATCTAGTGACACAAAGATGAACATAAACTTGGAATAAAAAACGTGAACCACCACCAAGAGTAACAAATGGACAGCAAGATGAGCAAAAGAATGCTAATTACTTGAGTTTTGAAAAATTGTAAAGAAGATGCTTAAATAGTTTATTTGCAAACACTACTGCTTAATCTTATACAACACTTAATCTTATACATATCCTAACTTCTTTACAATAGCACCTCAAATTTGAAAGATGCATAAACCAATTTTTTTGACAATTTGCTGGATTAAACCAACTCTTTGTACTCTTCAGCCGAAGTATGGGTATGGCTGAAGAGTGATTGGCTGGATTAAACCAACCCTTTGTACTCTTCAGCCGAAGTATGGGTATGGCTGAAGAGTGATTGGCTGGATTAAACCAACTCTTTGTACTCTTCAGCCGAAGTAAGGGTATGGCTGAAGAGTGGTTGGCTGGATTAAACCACCTTTTTGTACTCTTCAGCCGAAGTAAGGGTATGGCTGAAAAGTGGTTGGCTGGATTAAACCAACTCTTTATACTCTTCAGCCGAAGTAAGGGTATGGCTGAAGAGTGGTTGGCTAGTAAGCGTAGTTAATTTAACCAGCCAAAACCTAGATAACAGTTGAAACTAAAAAAGATCATGGAAAAATCATAACAAGTACAAACGTACACATCAACCGAAGTAAGAGTTCATGAAAATTTTTATTCATCAGAAAGCAAATACAAAGGAGGGGCCGTAGCCCGGTTACAAGAGTAAAGAAGTAACAAAAAAAAAAAAAGAAAAAGAACAAAATCAGGAGAAAAGGTCTTCAATTTCGGCATCAATGTCAAATTGAACGCCGGTTGCAGATGGAACATCCGTCTCAGTAGCAACTGGCAGAACGATATCAGTCGATGGCTCAACAGTCAGGTCTTCCACCGTTGCCTCCAACCGAGCTGATTGATCGTTGACTTGCGCGTTGACTACCGGAATAACAGTTTGTTCGTTTTCATCGTCTGAATCATCTGAATCCTGCAAGAATTGTTCTTGGACCGAAGCAGCATATTCCGCAAGCGAGGCCGGAATGAAGTACTGAGGAGCATTGTAGACCTCGGTTTCAGGCCCATAGCCGAGCTGCTCCACAGCACTTCTCCAGCTGCACTTGAAGAACAAATCCTTTGCCCCCTCGCATTGCGGAATGTATAGGCCCTCCGCCTCTTTGAAACCTTAGGCGTTGGCATCACCGACCTTCTTCTTAAGATCAGCTATTTCGGCGTCTTTTTTGCCTTCGAGTTTGACCAACTCGCGCAAGTACTTGTCTTTCACCGTTGCTGCAATTTTTTGTTTTTCAGCTTCAGTCGAGCTAACAAGTCCGGTCAAGCGACCATTCTCGAACTGTAGCTCGGCTATCTGCTTTTTGGCTTGCTCAAGCTAGGCTGTCTTCGCCTCGGCTTCCGCCACTGCTTGTCTCGTTGTTTTCCGGAGCTCCAGTACTTTCTTATGTGCCAGATTGTTCTTCTGAATGGCCTGCAAAAGGGTAGTAACTCTCTTTAGCCGGACTGACAGTTGGGAAAAGTTGGACAAAGAAAAGAGAGAGCCACTTACCAGGATCATTGATTTTGTAGAAGACGGATGGCCTTCAGCTCGGTGTTTAGTTGCTTGTTGTGGTGCTCCATATCCTTCGGAAGGCAAACACTCTTGGCTAGAGTGAAAGCCATCAAATGATCCTTCTCAGCAACGACCGAATCAGACTCCTGGATATTTCGATCTTGAAAAGTGAGAATTGGAGCCCATTTGGAGGAGTCAGCTTGGTCAGGTTGCTCCGGTTGAAGGATGGGATGAGGACTTGGTGGAGTGATGGATTCGTCCTCATCCACAAGCTGTTGTTCGGTCGAGGTAGATCGAGCGCGCTTGGAGGGGCGTGATGAAGAAGGCTGTTGAGAAGGGAGGGCCACAACGGCAGACTGCGTTTGGCTTGGTAGCGGTACTTCGGGTCTGTTAGTTTCGGTTAGAAGCGCCCTTACTCTGTTCTTTTTAGCCATTTCCTCTTCAGCAGTTAGTGGGATTAGTCTGATTTCTGGCAAGGTTGGGTCCGATTCTGGGGCTTCCTCAAGCAGAAAGTCGGTCACTCTCGCCTTTCGGCGACCGCTATATCTGTAGGTCGGCTCGAACTTTAACAGCTTAGCCCAACTACGTTCTGGATACCGTAGTGCGGCGCGCAAAGTCGCTAGATTGGGGTAGCTGTATAAAGAATGAAGGTGGGCAGAATCTGCGAAAAAAAGACAACTGTCAGCTCGACTGAAAGATTGACAAACCGAAATATAAAATAGCACGCAAGAAAACCAAAGTAAATTTACCAGGTTCTCCTTTTTTCCAGTTTATACGTCGGCCAGGAATCTGGGCTTGATGATCTTCAAAATTCCCAGACACCCAGAAAAAATCGTCGTCGTTTAAGTCTTTATCCGGTGTGTTTTTTATTATTTTCTCACGACGGCGGCGTATTCTGAGATAGTATACCCAGCCGTCTTCCTTCGAACCAATGGAGTATTGGTGAAAGATTTCGGCCAGACCAAGGTTGAGACCAGCTTGCCGGTTTAGTTCGGCTATTCCCATTATTATGCGGTATGAATTGGTGGATAGTTGGGTAGGGCATAGTCTAGTTTGCCTGAGGAACTCGCAAATTAAAGGTTGGACTGGAAATCGCAGTCCGGTTTCAATAATTGACAAAAGGATGAAGGGGACAAAGCCTTCATTGCCCCAAGGAATGACATCCTTTTCGGCTAAAATCAGATGGACGTCGTCAGGTATATTGTAGTCTTTTCTAAATTCGGCTAGGCCGCCCGGAGTGTCTACTAGATACCTATACTTCCCCATTTATTGTATAATTTATGAATAAATTAAAGGTCGGTCCACAAGATTGTCTCAGTAGCTCGGTTGAGCACGCAGAGGAGCGCCTAGGCAACCTAAGTCTGCAAAGTAGAAAACAGAGGGGTTAAGCACAGATCATTGGACCGTGCTACAAAATAAAAGTACAAAAAATAGGAGCCCTACTTCGGCTATGTGGATGCTACAGGTTCTAACTCGGTTTCTGCAAGGTGATTTGTAGCTCGGTTTGAGCAGGGCTTTGCTAGTTCGGGCTCGGCAAGCGTCTAGATATCTCGGTTAAGGGAACGGTTCTGTTTGGCCGGTTGATCATCTACGAGCAGCTTTCTGAGTTCCATCTAAAAAACTAAGAAAGCTGGTTTAGCCCCAAGGCCTAGATCGGTTGGAGTTCAGGTGTCTCGGTATGCTAAGTGCGAACCTAGTTCGGTTGGTTACCTCGGCTAAAGCAATTCAAGAAGTGGTTTGACTTATTCAAAGCTACTGGTGTAAACATAAGTGTTAGTCCGGTTGTATGTTGACTAGATTTTTACCTAGCTTAAAACAGTATCCTAGTTCGGTTGCATCGTGATTTTGGATCAAAAATCTATTTTCTACAGGGTATTTCATATATTCATATGTTCTACTGTTAAGTTTTTTCCATAGAAGTACAATGCAAAGCAAAACAGAAAACGTATTTGCAGAAAACACAGAAAACAAAACGCATAGAACAAATACGAAAACAAACAGAGCAAGTAAGATGTATCATACTAACCAGATGAGGGAGCAGGAGCTGAAGATGGAAGCAAAAAGCGGAAGTTCACGAGCTCTTTCAGAAAAAACGAAGAACAAGGAAGAGCTCAAAGGAAAGGAAGAAGATAGATGGCAAAAGTGAAGGGACTCTGGCCTCAGGATTTGTTTTTGTTTGAAAGCCCAAAAATTGGGCGGGACTGTTCAAAAAACACGAAGTACGAAGACGGCGTGACAGCCGTCCTCAGTCAATCAGAGCGTGCCACGTGTGATTAGAATGGGAAGCGTTACAGTCGCTGTGATTGAAGAGACGTTTTGACTGGACAAGTAGAGCCCGGAGTAAAATTAGCTCGGCTGGAAAGGCTAAAGCTTTTTTTTTTTAGCTCGGCTGGAAAGGCTTAAAAAATTTCAGCTCAGCTGGTAAACAGGTAATCCTTATCATGCTGTGCAGATGGAATTAAGGGGCAATTGAGAGGGAAATTTATGTGAAAATGGGCCGAGCTAGGTGATGGGCCGTTATGAGTCACAATATAAAAGGCCGAAGTGAAATGGCCATATAAGATACTCCGGTCATACGTTATTTTGAGTTAGTCCGGTCCTAGGGACGTGAAGATAGACCGGTCCAGTAGGAGATCAAAGTTAGATCGGTCTAAAGGTTCCTCAGATTTAGACCGATCTTAAAGTTTCACTGGTCTCAAAATAATAATTTCGGTCTGACCGCACCATGGGTTGTGCATGAGGAGCTGCCTTAAGAGCAATAAAGGGAAGAATTAGTTCGGCTTACTCTTCGACTGTACATAAACATATTTACTTCGGTCATATTGGAGTTCGGCTATGATAAAACCATCTCACTTGGTTTAAGCAGTGAGGGGGGTGTTAAAGGATAAGCATTATTCTACAGGAGTAAGAATCCTAGGAGGACTCTGCATGGAGGAATAGAAGTCCTACTAGGATTGTGCCACACGAAACCTATAAAAGCTCACAAACATCACCTTTGGGGAGGTAACACACAACTTTGCTTTCTGAATTCACAGAACTTTGTCTATTTGTCAAGTTTGCTGACTTAGGCATCGGAGAGGTTTCCGGCACACACCCGCCGGCTAGCTTACGTTTGTGTTTTCAGGTTATAAATCGACGTCGTACGGAGGAGCGCAGACTTGGTCAACAGGATTATACAAGAAGGTTTATTTCTTTCCCGTACAAATATGTATAGTCAACTAAATAGTTCGATATGGCTGCACTGACAAAGTACCATGCTTGACCAATAAAAAGTGAATCAGTATCATAGTAAAGATTTTTAGTGCAAAAGCTAACAAAAATATTATGTTACCACGATACATTGATGCACCCCTAGAAAATCCACTACTTTTCCTGAAATTTCTTATCGGAAGAAGAAAGCTAGTGACTAGATGATTTTCTTAGCACTTACAAAGTACCATGCTTGACCAATAAAAAGTGAATCAGTATGACAGTAAAGATTTTTAGTGCAAAAGCTAACAAAAATATTATGTCACTGAATTCTCATCACCTATTTTGTGTTTACGTCTATCTTGTTGAAGATTGATTCGTATTTAGAAGAAATTATTTAACCAAAATAAAAAAATAAAATAACAGTCATAGCTTGTGATGGATGTGGTGAAATAAAATGGTAAGAAAAATTGATTATAAGATATATGACACTCACTCACTCTTCTTCAAGTACAAAGGGGGAGGATAAATGCAACTAGCTATACATGATTCATAGTTACCTTCTAATTGAGGCTACAAATTCTTGCCTGGTCATGTGTTTCATCTCCTCAAGTTCCTTTTCGTAATTACTGATCTGCAATTTCAAATGTATTAATTCATTTTAATATGTGATAGTAAAAAACATTAGAACTATTATTTGATTTTTCTCAAAATCTTCAGTGCACCACAAAAGCATACAGGGAAGTTTGTAGTGGTAGATGTTCCCCAGTACTTCAGTGCAACCATATCATAAGCCCTAGCTGCTTTCTATTCTTTGTCATACCCACCTGCTCAAATTAAAATTAAAATAAAACCAAAGCAGATCAAATCGCAATAAAGTCAAAACCCTACAGTGGAGAGATTGAGGGAGAACCAGAGCAGATTAGCGATGAATTGTTCGTCATCGCGTCGTTGTTTGTCGATTTGGGGATACAACAAGCGTCGATTTGGGCATACAACAAGTGGGAGAGCGAGAGATATCCTGGTATTGCGGCGGTGGCGGTGGCGGTGGCGATGTGCGATGTCGAATGCTTCCCGATGGTGAGCGCTGGCGGTAAGGTGAGGTGTGGAGGTGACTGATGTGTGGGAGAGAGAGAAGTGTTTTGTATTCCTAAATAGAGGAGAATACCTGCGCGGGCAACAAATAGCTTTTTACTTTCCCACTATAATTTTGGCACCTTTGGCGACTAATGTAAAATTTTGTCAGCAAAAATTGAAGTAATAACGACTAAATTATTTAGTAGCCAAACCAACTGTAACAGCGACTAAAATGTCAGTCGCTAAAAGTGGAAACTTTATATTTGCCGACCAAATTTTTGTCGCCAAAGGTTTACTTAACAGCGATGAAAATATTAGTTGCCAAAAGTATTATTTGGCGACTAATTTTAAATTTAGTCGGGAAAAACCAATATTACTGATTAATTTATTTTTTTTGGGCCTAAAATTTGGACTAATAGCGACCAATCAAATTTTTAGTCACTGAAACTTGAGTTTTTACCGACTAAATTCAAATTTAGTCGCCAATAAGCAATATTTATTGACTAAAATATTTTAGTAGCAATATCTTGAACCACCGCTGACAAACATAAATTTTAGTCGCCAAAGACTGTACTTTCGGCGACTAAAATTTGATTAGTAACCAAAAATGGTCACCAAAGGTGCGATTTGTTGTAGTGTTTGTTACTTATGTCACACTATTAGTTTGCTTAACGGATGTGATCATTTGTTATGTTATTAGAAATCTCAACGGATGTAATTTCTCAATCGTTAGTGAAAAATTTGACTTTTAATAAATCTCAGTGTTGTATTTGTAATTTACTGTAAAAATTATTGTGTTCATATGCATTATTGTGCTTCTTAGGGTAAAAGTATATATGATAAATTTGAAACTCAAGACCATAATAAATCATAACCCTTCTCTCTATAAGAAATCCTGGTTTCTCTCTATCTCTTTCTCCGCTCTTTAAGGGGAGAGGGTGATGCTTTTAGCCTTCATCTCTCCTCCATTTTTTCTCTTGCAGTTTCTTCTTTTTTCTTTCTTGTTTATCACCATTCTAGCCACTATCGCTCTTTCTGTCTCCATTATCAGCTTGCTACTAAGAAATGTTTTAGATTTAGACTCAGATTGGATTCGTGACATAAATCTGACGTTGCTAAACGCGTTTTTATACACTAGACGACCACCTCAAATCTAGAATATTTTATTTTGTAATGTAGAGGGATTACAGCGCCATAACTACCAGTTGCGATGATGAATAAATTGTGAAAGTGATTGGTAATGTTGATTTGGTGGTGATTGTTTTGATTTTATTTTTTATTTTGTGATGCCTCTTTGTGTAGAGGTTTCTTATTTTGCAAAAATCTATTTTTCTCCCTATATAGAGACTCGTATTCTCTATGTGTGAAGATTCTTTTTATTCCTTTTGAGATTTGTCTTGCACTCTGATATATTTTATTGAACGATTTATTGTTGAATGTGTGTACTGTATTAATAATAATAATAAGTTTTAGATTTAGACTCAGATTGGATTCGTGACATAAATCTGACGTTGCTAAACGCGTTTTTATACACTAGACGACCACCTCAAATCTAGAATGTTTTATTTTGTAATGTAGAGGGATTACAGCACCATAACTACCAGTTGCGATGATGAACAAATTGTGAAAGTGATTGGTAATGTTGATTTGGTGGTGATTGTTTTGATTTTATTTTTTATTTTGTGATGCCTCTTTGTGTAGAGGTTTCTTATTTTGCAAAAATCTATTTTTCTCCCTATATAGAGACTCGTATTCTCTATGTGTGAAGATTCTTTTTATTCCTTTTGAGATTTGTCTTGCACTCTGATATATTTTATTGAACGATTTATTGTCGAATGTGTGTATTGTATTAATAATAATAATAAGTATATATAATATGCACTTTATAATAACATCATAAAATTTTATAACGTGAATCACAAAATAATATATCTTTTTATTACCAAAAAAAAAAATGTAACTTTCACAATAGAATGTTGATCATAAATTCATCATTCATAATTTTTGTTACAAATTAATATAATACATAATACAAATATTTATAATTGTCACCACAAAAAATTATAATTATTACGGTATACTCCCATTTTAAGAATGTCATCATAAATTTCCTAGAGCTATGTTTGTTTTTCCTCTTGTTTTGTGCAGTTTGCTAGGTGACCAAAAGAGATATGCGAGTGGGATACTAACTAGTCACCCCATCACAGCAAGTTGAGTAAATGAACTATTTTCTACTTGATTTGAATCTAATTTCTAAAAAACATTATCAATTAGACTAAAATTAGATAATATGAAAATTCAAAAGTAAAATTAATGCAAGAGGCAAATTGAAATACTACAATCGTAATTAATTTGTTTGGTTTGGAGCACTACAAAAAATTAAGATTTTGGGGACTAAAATTTAATAACAAAATTATTTTTTATGGACCAAATATTTTTGTTGCGAAAAATGTCGTTATTATATTTTTAACAACGAAAATTAGATATTAGTGATGAATTATTATCTATTTGGGATCAAATTTTTTGTCTAAAAAAAATAAAAACTATTTTGAGACCAAATTATTTTGTTCCTAAAAGTTTATTTATTAGTGACATTTTCAAAATTTTGTCACTAAAAGCCTTATTTTTGACTTTTCGGTACGACCTTTTAGCGACTATCCTCACGATGATAGAAATTGGTCTTTAAATGTCTTTTGCAACAAAATTTTCACATTTAGAAACCAAAACATTTGGTTTAGTAAAGTTTAGTAAAGTTTTCCATCCATATTTTTTGTTGTTAGTGATTTTTTTTTTTTTTTAAATCTAATTAATCTAAATATACTTAAAAGTAAAATATTTGTGAAGAAATTACAATATATATAGACTAAACTTTTGTATATATATTTTGTATTTTTATGAATTTTTAAGAAGAAAACACAAATTTTGTAGTGTATTTAGATTAAGTGGATCTAAAAAAAATGATTAAAATATTTTTTAAAAATACAATTTAAAAACTCAAAAAAATTATTTTTAAAAATTATAATTATATTAACCCAGAACTAAATTAGAGTGTGTGTGGTTGAAATTTATGTAGTATAGCGTGGAGTTTATGTGTAAATAAATTTGAATCACAAAATGATAATTCTCAATAAAATTTAGGTAAATTTTTAATATTGCTGTTTTAAAAATTTAAAACCAAGGGCTGAATTTATACTTAAATGTAACAACTATCCACATGCTTTAAGTAGAATTCAACTCCAATGGGTCATCTCTTTGATAGTAATCCCCAGCAAACTGCACAGACAAGGGAACAAACAGATTGTGCATGCTATTCTCATGAACTTTCCCACTATAAATAACTCCATTTATTTTCCATTTGCTTTGTTCAATTCTCTTCTTTCTCCATTTCCATCATCCTCTTCACTACTCCTACCATCTTCAAATATAATACATTCAACAGCAGAGGAGGTGAAGTTGTTTGTCCCTTCCGACGAGTCGACTCATCATGAAAGGTATTATTATGATTATGCTCTGTCCTTGGCTATATATATATATATATGTACCTTTCTCTCCTCTATTATGGATTTCTATTGATGCATGAATATCTATCATATATATATATATGATTAAGAAAATCTGTGACATTTTTAAAATAATTCATTCAATGGCTTAATCTTTAGATCAGTTTAGTCTATTATATTGGCACAGTTGTTAACACTAACAGCCTATGTCTTATTTTGATATTTTGCCTTTCAGTTAGTTAGGTGATTCTCTGTTTGATTACCAAAAAAGTGAAAAAATGCAAATATGTACGGGGTTGGAGTTGCACAGCAGTGACTGTTGTGCGGTTTGTGGGAATTATTTTAGGTTTTATTTTGATAATCTGAACCGTTCAATTTTTAAATAACATTGAATAGAATAAACTTGTAAAAACTCAAGTTGATCGGATATAAATAGAATCTTTATCAACTCACATTTGTATTTAGTTTAATACTTATATATTTAATTTTGTTATATATATAAATACGAGTTGATAAAGGGTCTATCGATATCTGATCAACTTGAATTTTTACAAGTATATTCTACCTGATGTTCTTTAAAAATTGCATAGTTTGAATCATCAAAAAAACAAATCTAAAATAATTCCCATAAACTACACAACAGGTACGGCAAAACAAATCATCCAAGCTTGATGTGGTTAAAAATGAACAAAGCAATCACTCTGTTTGGTTTTCATTTCCAGAATTCATTTTTTAAAAAATTTTACTTTTTCATTTTTCAAACGCATCAATTCTCATAGAAAAAGTATAAATTCTTTTCTTCACCCATGATGAATCAACTTTTTGAAAGATGATGAGGGCTGCAAATAATGTTTTATGATTATGATTATTATTATTCTATGTTTTTTGGTATGTTGTTGTTAGTGCCATGCTCCATGATTAAGAGATGCCTGTTATTTTATGATTTTGAGGTTCCCAAAATTATATTAGGGTCATTTTTTTAGACTACTAACTCAATAACTACTAGCTACATACAATCTCCATAACGGAAGAGAAATAAGTACAACCACAAAAGATATCAAACTACTAGTTATAAAAGTTGAGCTTGAAGCAAGTTATATTAGGATCATTTGGGAAATATGGTTTTTTTTTTTGTTGTGATTTTTTAGTTAAAATATGATGTGAAAAAGACCAATATGTTTAATGACTTTTAAACTTTTATGAAAAAAAAAAAACTATAAAGTGAATGAAAATTAATCTTTAACTTTTTATATAAATTAAAAAATTTAGACTTTTTTATTTTTGGATAATTTTTTAACTTTTTAATTAAAATAACCACTTGTCAAAACCTGAGATGCTTTTCTTTGAAAATAATTAATATGAAAGAAGGTCAAATATGACTTTTCCTTAAGCTCTAAATAATAAATAAATTGGCATTTAATATGATGAACAATTAAATATTTTTCATGATTGACATAAAATAAGTTTATTTTGATATTAAAAAATAAAAATCAAACTGAAATCTTATCAATTGTCACTATGACTACCACTAACACAATCACTACCATCAGCCTATTACCACCACCAT